GGTTCAAACTCATGACGTATAACGATTTCTTCTGGATAATGATCAATTTCAAAATCTTCCCTAGAAAAAAAACATAAGAAAATTTTACACAAAAATTTCTTTAAAGATCACGGGAACACAATTTACCATGGATCTTTAAGTTGACAAGCTTTTTTCATTGCTCCTCTCCAATGTCCAAAAGAATCCATTCTTGAACGATGACGTAAACGATGTTTAACACGAAAATTAGACATACCAACAGTTTGTTCATTTGAATGTTTTCCACTAATTGATTGAAGATGAATAACAAGATTAAATAGTCGATCGCCTTCAGTGATTGGTAATATATTATCGCATTCATCATCAACTACACTTATTGATGAGTTTGTACATTCACCATCAATACAAAGATGACAACCTTCATCAATAGAGGATGATTTTTCATTGAATTTCTCTCTTGAAGAATTATCATCATCTATTGCTCCAAATATAAGGTCACCATCACTTCCTATATTTTCTTTTTCTTTGTGTTCGACATATTCTTGCTTATTACAACAATTAATGTCATCTTCACGAATTGATGTTGGTACGTTTAATAACGGTGCCATATAAAACATCTTTTGTGTCATGCTTCAATGATAAATATTCGTTTACTAAATGAATGCGAATAACTATCAACTGACTTTTGCTAGTCGTGTGATGAGTTGAATATTAGCCTCTTGTTATATTATATAGTTGCACTAATGATAAGAGTGGGTGATTTTTTAAAAATTTGCCCATAGCCACATTCGAGGTGTAACACCTTATTTAGAAAAATAAACACAAAATATGCACGTTTATTACAATCAGTAGTGATTTTTGAGTACGCCATTGACATATTATTTATCATCATGTCCTTTACGCTCTTACTTTAAATTGCAGTTTGTAATCGTTTTCTCTTCGAAAGTAAAAGAAAACTAGGGCATAAATAAATGTCTCAACCAATATTATGTCTTCACGATCAAGGCTTGAATGCAGGTATTTCACTCGATGATTTATTTATTCATTCAGCTTGTTGAAATGAATCATATATTCGTCTATTTCTGTTACCTATGTATATACTACGATAAAAATTCAAAATCAGTTTGTTTTTTTCTAATGAAAAGAGAAAGGCAAAGGAAAACGAAAAGATGAAAGTAATGATAACTTTTTTATTTCAAAAAATTTATTAACAAATATTGTGGGAGTGTGGATGCAACAAGTCTTTATAGGGTGTCAATTTATAGTTTCAACTTAATTACTGGGTAAATTAAATTATCGATAATTTAAATTTATTTCAAACTTGAATATAGATGAGTCAAATTTACTTAAGCCAATAGAAAATTGACAACCGTAAGATCATTGTTCCTTCCACATCCACCTACATTCATACACTATGTCATTAAAATTTTACCTTTTTCTTCTCATGAACAAAAAAAGAATATTAATTTTATTCATATAGAAAATAATCTCTATCGAAGAATAAAATATATATCGTCTGCCGAAAATTGAGTAAAACTGTTTGAAAACATTATATTGAGTCTTTATTAATTCAATTTGATCATAGAATAAGAAAGAATTGATCGTGTCCTTCGAACACCATGCAGAGAGAAAAAAGGACAGAAAATAGGAAACTGTTATATAAATACTCGTAGGTTACCAGGTATCATTGTAACAAAATATTCACGTTTTTGTACACACAAATCCACATTATTGGTCGACAAAAATAGCAACGAAAGCAACAGGCACTGTTGTTGGAAAGGGTGGCTTTGAAGGTGATACATTCAATGGTAATGAAACATTAACAGTGTCGGTCCAAGATACAAGTCGTGGTTGCGGACCAGCTATTTCGCTCGGTCAGCAACACATAACTTTGAAAAAAGGAGAAAAATTTCCGATTAGTTTTGATATTCAATATCAAGAAGAAGAAGCAAGCAAGGTACCTGACTATGGTTTAATATTAAGTGCAAGGATTGAAGATGACAATGGTAAATTATTATATATTAATGATACTAGTACAAGTGCGAAAAGTAACAAAATTGAAGTCATCAAAGTTTAATTCACTCATTTTTATTATTAAGACAACATTTCATTATTATTAATCTCGAAATATTACTATTAGGTTGCAGTATTTTTTCCTATTCTTGCACTAAAACTTCAACAATAATATATATGACATAGTCTGTGCTCTGCAAGCACATAACTTTGTGTGACCATTATTTTCAAACCTTTCGCTTTTTTCTTTGACTCTCATTAATATCTTTATAATAAAATTAATTTTTGCTGCACTATAGTTACATTTGATGCTCGTTCTCTTGTATCCCATTTAAACCAACAACATGTCTTATTATTAAATAATTAATTACATAGAATCACTGAATAATATGAGACGATGAAGATACAAATACAATCTGAATTTCCTTTTATTTGGGTGCCTTTTGTCATATCCAAAAAGTTTTGAAAGTTTTTGTAGCAACATTTACTTTATGATAAAAGATGTATGTGCCAATATTTAGTACATCTCAATAATTACTCTTTGTGTATATAAGAACATAGGAATGTTCCGTCAACACTTGTCTAGACGCGTCAATGTGTTGACCGAATAGAAGAATAGTAATTGCCTACCCAGACATTGGTCTATTCAATCCTTTTTCTCACCTATTTCTCTTCTCTCTTCCCTCCTCTTTCTCCATCTCGATATATAAGACGGGAAAAAGGAGAGAAAAGGAACATTCGTTGAATGTGGTAGTGGTGTGTAGAATAGTAATGTATATGTCTAACGCATAAATAGTAATACACTAGTAATAACATTATTGTAATGGGTGTGGGTAGTTTGGGTATCCTCTTTATCTAGATCCACACCCTCACCCACATCCATTCACACCCACAACCATCCACACCCACACTCCACACTCCACACTCCACACCCATCCACACCCATCCACACCCACGCCCACACCACACGCCCACACCCACCCACACCCACACCCACATCCACACCCACACCTACACCCACACCCACACCCACACCCACACCCACCCTTTGCCTGAGATTGCATTTCCTCCTAAATAAGTATATTTATTAAATGATTGGAAATAAATATTCTTTATTCAATGAAAAATCATTATTAACCACATAAATAAATAAACGTCGTTATTCTGTCGGCTGTTCGATTAAGAATTTTTGTACGCGTTGATTGCCGTTATCAACAACATAAAGATTGCCATAGCGATCAAATGACAACCCAATGGGACCTTTGAATTGATTCGATTCTTCTCCGATATAACCTTCACCAGCAATGATACTTCCTTGTGTGGCCGCTTTTGGCCAACGTATAATTTGATGATTATTTCGACCAGCTACATAAACAGTGCTCAATTGATCGACAACAATTCCTAGAGGCCATAACACTTCTTGAACACCATTTTTTTGTCCTTGAGTACCAGCTACAACAGTGCCTTGCTTTGCACCTTCTTCCCATTTCATCACACGATCATTTAGCAAATCAGACACGTATACTGAATGATTTCGATCGACAAATATGTAGTAGGGATTATTAAGTTGATCAAGACGATTTCCTGCTCCATTACTACCTGCAACCACCGTTCCTTCATTATCACCAATTTTATATCGTCTCACTTCATGTTTTTCCCCATTAGCGACATAGAGAGACCCAGTCTCGTCCATTGTTAAACCGGTGCAAGAGATATTCGAGATGAGTATTTCTCCACTAATACCATTTCGACGAGGCCATCGAACCACTCTTTTACCGTCGCAGATGATGAGACTATCTCTCTCTTTGTCAACAATCACATCTTCCGGAAAGTATAACTGATTAGCTCCATTTCCTGGTCCATTTCCACCAGCAACCACTTGACCACTCGCTGCACCATATTTCCATTCTACAATACGATTATTCCCCCAATTAGCGACATAAATAGTTTGATCATCATCGACAAATAAACCATGTGGCCAATTGAGTTGATTACTTTCATTGCCTTGTTGATTTCCTCCAGCAACAGTGAGACCACTCTGTATCCATCTTGCATTTGGATGAATATCAATAGCAGGTGCTCGTAGTGGTACTTAAAATAGACAAAAATAAGCTTTACAATACAGAATAGAACACATAGACAAGAGAGAGAACAAAGTTTCAGAAAAAGTGATTTTGCTCGAAAAGGTGAATAGCTAATAAGAATGAGATACGATGTGGCTGAATTCTACAGAATCGAAATACACAAACTAACTAAAGTTCTTGGAATTTGAGAGGCGTCTAAAATTGAACGATGATGACTATCTAAATTGAGAAATATTGTTTTTTTTTTCGTTTTTTTGCTCCATCGAAATATTCTATCACCCATTGAATTGTTTATTTGTTTCTTCGTTCATCTCGTTGTCACCGTAGATATCTTTGTATTGATCCGTTTTTTTTTGAGATGTATGATGTAAAGTTTTGTTTCTGTTCCTTGTCCTCGTCTCTGTTTCTCGCCGTCGATGGATGAATAATTTCACCATTTTTTATCTTTTTATTAACCGAATTTTAAAAAATCGAATTGATCAATGAGGAGAAGTAACAGAAAGGAAAGTAGCTACCATGTGTTTGTCAAAGAAAAATCGATTCCCTTCCATCGCAAGTTCAGAAAAAGTTTCTTCTTAGTATTTGTCCTTTTCTTATGTGAAGTAATATTAGTTTAAAAAAGCAAACCATCATTCTTTGTATCCCTTGAAAACGCACAATATTGATTGTTCTTTCGATGGAACCATATAGCCACCGATGATACTTTCATTAAAATACTACTATGTCTTGAAACTTCATGCATACACTACTGTAGAATACTCTTCTAGTACGTACACTCTTGTAGAACATATAGAGAGTATGTTTGAAGATTCTCTAAATGTCAAATTTTGTCAAAAAACTCATTCTAGATGAAACCTTGGATAATAGAAAGTATGTTCTTGAGAGTTCGGCTCTGTTTCATTTCAACGAATGAGAACACAAAACTAATTATTGGGTCGAATTCATCAATAGTTATATGCTTTACTTCATCAGCGCTAATTTTTTGTCTGAATTCAATAGATGTAATAGTGACGTAACCGGAAAATTCAGGGTGGTTAGGTCCAACCTCCAGTTTTTCTTCCAAGACTAAAAGTAACGTTTTTGGCAACTAACATATTTCGCAAGGTAGCTAAAGTGATTTTTCAATAGTTTCGCATGCATTTGAATCATTAACAAAAAAATCTACAAAAATATGCGTAAGGTCAAGACTGTTAGATCTATTCGTTCAAAAGTTATAAGTATCATGATGAAAATTCTTATCAGGGAATCTCACCAAGTGATAATTTGCTTTTGACACAAGCTTTACCTCATTAGATAGAGCCTTGAGACTCGAAAAAGCATAGAGGAAATCATGCCCATGGATCTTTCCATTGGAGTTCTAGCAATTATATTAAGTTTTTCAACAAAATGTCATGATCCTCTTCAATTCACCTTCAAAATTGAATTTCAAATTTCTACTTGAAACTTTCCATAAATAAAGATCTCAATAAGACTAGTCTATCCCAAAAGTTAAAAATATTTTGGTTACTTCTATCCTAAAATATAAACATTAAACAATTTGTGCTATTACTTCACTTATACGTAGCTCAAAACATTTAATGTTCATTTTGTAGGATAAGGACAAACAAGAACTGCGAAACCTTCGGGATAGACCAGTCTTATTGAAATCTTTATTTATGGAAAGTTTCAAGTGGAACTTCGAAATTCGATTTTGAAGGTAACTTAAAAAGAACCATGACATTTTATTGAAAGACTAATATAATGACTAGAACTCTAAGAGAAAGATTCATAGGCACGAGTTCTTCTGGACTTTTTGTAGTCTCAATAGGCTCCACCTAATGAGGTAAGACTTGTTTCAAAAGCGATATATCATTTGACGAGAATCCTTCGTTAGGCGATTTATCTATTAAATTTCTGTGAAATAAGTCATTTTTTTTGCATTTTTCCCATAAAATAGAAACTCAATTTTTCATATATGTTGAACTTGAAGCTTGAATTCAATTGAAATTTCAAGTCTCAAGTTTCAACGAAGCAGCTGAGGGTGCCACGAATTGACTTTCGAGGACTGTACAATGAAAATCAATTCTACACATACATCCGTACACCAGGTGACGATAAAGTTGAAAAACGCTTCAAATTGAAACTGCAAAAATTCAATGTTGAAACTCGAAAGTTGAAACCTGAAAGTTGAAACTTGAAATTTCAATTGAATTCAAGTTTGGCCTACTGCAATTGTTTGGCATTTTTTTTAGAAAATTGATTTAAAAACTCTAAAAGATCTCTTGAAAAACCTACAGGGAGATCCAAAAGTCTTGGACCCTTTCAGAAAAACTGTTCGTTCTCTCGTATAATAAACTTTAAAATGCTCAAAATTTGATATCGTATCCCGTGTAGCATGACAAATATTATCCTAGACTTTTATTTTTTTATCCTAACAAATAAAGGAAATACATAGGTTTGCATTCTAGAAATCTTATTTTCTCCATGTCCAAAAAATAATGGTTGACGCGTAATATATGTAAATGGGTCACTTTTGCATTTCATTTTTCCACCACTTGATACGTTCTATTAATAAAACAAACATATCGCATAAGATGCAGCATGAAAAGCTCTACAATCTACATAGCACGGCATATTTTAATCATTTTATTTTTGTTATCAAAAAAAATATCTTTGTGTGATCACTGTTTGCAGTGGCAAAAGTTAATCGTACAGAATTTGACTGTTTTTTGAAAACAAAAAGTACACAATATAAACACGCTGCTCTTTCTAAATTGTAGAACTTTTGACGCTGCATATTGTAGTATATTTTGCTTTTTCTTAATAAAACGTATTAAGTGACAAACACGGGGAAAAAACAAATTTTTCATTCGCGTAGAAAAAAAACAATTATTTTACACCGGTAAAAATTCATTGGGTAGAGTTTTGATTTTATTTCTGAAACCAAAACCTATATACTTAGAATATGCTTTACTGTGTAGATTATAGAGCCTTTCATGCTGCATCTTATGCTATATGTTGTTTTATTGATAGAACGTATCAAGTGGTGGAAAAATGAAATGTAAAAGTGGCCGATTTACATGTTTTATGCGCCAAACATTATTTTTTGGACATGGAGAAAATATGATTTCTCGAATGTAAGCCTATATATCTCGCTTATTGGTCAAAGTAGAGAAGTGAAAATTTAGGATAGCATTTGGCATGTTACAAGGGATAAGATACCAGACTTTGAGTATTTTAAAGTTTATTATAAGAGAGAACGAACAATTTTTATGAGAGAGCCCACGACTTTTGGATCACCCTGTATATTATATAATTCAATTCATCTTCATCACCTCTTTTTGAACGATGGAAACCACAATTCCAAATTCTGCTTCTATCAAAGTTATTTAAAAAAATATCCATCAGTCTTCTTTTTTGAAATGGGCAATAGTATATGGTCTAAAAGAGGAAGCAAGTAAAAATAGTTCTATGAGGCAAGTAGCAGTACACTCCTATTTCGTTTGCATAACACTGAGAAGGGTAAACCTGTGAACGTGGATGTTGAAACTGGTGTCGTAGTGCTTGTTGTTGCTAGTATTGTTCCCATTGTCGTTCTTTGGGTTGTGTGCCTTTTTCTTATTAAAACCAGTGCTAATGTAATAGTAACAACTACTACTATCAAAATAGCCATAATAATACTGAAGATCACGCGTTTAAACATGTTTTGTTTAGAAAATGTATGTCTAAAGTAACGATCTCTTTTTATTAGTCATTAATATGAAGAATATACATACGATATTGATCTTAAAACAGTTTATGTTTTATATTGGTATTCACAATCAGTCGTGAATATGAAATAGTCAAAAAGAGAAAAGAACATATTATTTTAACTAAGTAATTTTACCAAAACAGTAAGTCTTCATACCCATTTTGTGAAACATATTTAATACTTAAAAGAAGTGCTGAAATATATAAGGGTATAAATTTATACTCAATCCCCCACAATCCATGACTGACATTTTGATTAAATAATTGATTAATTGTCCATTACAGATTGTGACAGACAGGCTTGCGAACCTATCATAGGGTGTAAGAGATACGTTTAGGAGACCGTTACATACTGTGGTAGACGGTTTCAAGGTACTATAAGAGGCCATGCATAACTGAAGTCTAGTTAAAATATGTATCGAGTATTTCCTTTTTGCAGTTTAATGCACTAAAGTAAAGAATGATACTAAAGTATATGCCAATATACATAAAAAAAACACGATTTTTTAGGGGATTAGCAATAATAGGTATATCGTGTTTCATATTTTAATCCCCAAGAATTGCGCTAACAGCTATTTTTTATCTGACTATAATCAGCATTTCTAAGCTAAGAGTTAACATTATATACAAGTAAATACCATCTTGTATTTGCGATGAAAATGATGTCGCTGAAATCTATATATATACCCCTGAAAAGCAAAAGTTTGACACAGTATTTGACCTCTTTTGACACTCGAAAAGGACTTGTTGGAGAAAGTAATTATGCCATTCGATAGCCCTTGGAATTCTCTATCGAACTATGCCTTTTAATAATATTC